AATCCACCATCGGTTTTTGATAACCGTATTTCCTACACGAATTGTCTAAACTATATTATAAAATAGTGTCAAATTTGATACTTAGTATTAACATAATGATAATATGTCGTCTTTCTATCGATGGTAGAATTATTACGTCATTACATAACATGATGCTCAATACAGTCATCGTCATAATAAATACATGAATTCTCAAATATAACATTTTTAAAAGTTTAGATCGTGTAAAATACTATACAAATTATGGTAGAGTATTAATAATTTTAAAAGCCTTAAACATTAAATTAAAATTGATGTTTCCCTACCTACTTGTGAAGTGGTCAGCAAGTAATCACTTTCAAACATATTGAAAATGATATGTGACTAAACTAATAAGTCATTGAAATAAACTAATGAAGTAATCTGCACAAATGAGGGTTACGCAAAATAGTTCACATCATAGTATAGGTATGTAAAAATTAAATTAATAAACGAAATGTTAAATAATAAATATTATTTTGTTTTAATATCAAGCATAGAATCAGTTCAGCCTCCGGATACGGGTCATGGAAGAGCGGTTTCTACCTACTACAATAATATAAAATACATATAGGTACTATACAAGTATCATGCAATTAACCTCAATGTACTGTATTTACAACCATCAGGTCGTCCTATATTTTAATTACGTCGCTAGTATTACAACATAAACAATGTGCTTATAACAGGATCGTAAAAACCACGATACCTACAAATAATATCAATAAGAAAAACGGTAGTAAAAATCTTCTTCTGGTGACAAGTAGATTTCTAATTGTATGCTTAAAATGTATCGCTTCAATAATTGACGCTGAAACAAGGATTTTTTCTATGATTATACAATGAGGAACATCATGGCCGTATCACAGTCTGACTTAAGATGATTACATTTGAAGGTAACCGATAAATAATTCCACAGTAAAGAGTAGTTTTCCTCAATGTGAAGAACAATTATTATTCCAATTCTCGTTAATAGATATAGGTAAAAGAAATCATTATTATACAAAATGCCTATTTTTAAATTTTATTTATTAGTAATATAGACGTACCCTTAAGTTGCATAATACATAATATAAAGATAGTAAGAATATAATAGTACCTATACAAGATTGTAATATTTGTACTACAGACAAATTTTTTTTTAATTTAAGGAGAAAAGTGTATAAAAAGTGAAAAAGCATTTATTTGTGAAAAAATGTGATTTCGTAAAACTATATTGTATCAAAAACCTTCACATTCATATACACATATAATAATATATTAAACAATATTAGGAATTGGAATTTAAAAATAAATTATTAACAAAAAGGATTAAACTAAAAAAAAAAAAACTTCTAGTTTGTTTAGATCAATTCAATTAGAGGTTAAATAAGTTTCGTATTTTTTTTTTTAATTTAAAAGAAAAAAATTCAAAATTGACCTCGAACTTAAAATTATGAAAACTCACTTGATTTTTCAAGATAGCTCCAAATGCAATTCATGTTGGTCAAGGGTGAAAACGACAAAATGTGGGAGGAATAGTTAAAAAATATAACTACGAAAAACACAATAGGACCCGTATAAGTGACTACGATAATGTACGTGGAATATTTTAACAATGGCCATTACAGGTATAATTATGTCGACGGCAAAAAATAAAAAAATAAATAGATTTTTGACTTGTCATAATCTAGCCTCATCGTAGGCCACGCACGCGTGGATTCTCGCTGATAACATAACATATTGGCCGTTATTGATACAATATTATAAACCTAACAGTTTAATATTGAACGCAAGTCGAAGATCGAACTGGCGGCTTTGCGTTTGTATTTACAAGCCTTATTGTATACGCGCATGGTATAATTACATGCAAGAACGTGCATATCACTGGCAAGAGAAATACTCCTTTGAACACAGCCGACGGACTTAATGCGGTCGAGATGTATGGCAAGAGATATGTGCCGATAAGTATTGTGACTTCCTATTGGAAGCGTATGTGTTTATTCTATATATTCAATGGAAAAATGATACGTAGTTTATTACGGCGGCGCATGCAGGTAGATAGGTAGGTAGGCAGGTACGGACCAAATCGGTCCAATAATGAAGTCGAATAGTTGTCGCGATAAAGAGGAGATTTATTAGAGCTACAACGGATATACTATGAGTGTATGCGCGGGGAACGTCTTGTCCAGTGGATATTATTTTCTTTTGCTTCGCATTAAATATATATTATGGTTTTAGCGGCAAAGAAGAATTTCCATCTTTGAACGAGTCTGGTTCGGACGGGGCACAAATACGCATTGCTAGTTTTAAATAGTTCGATAATAAAATCAGACGACACTGCGGGCTGAATTAATGCATTGTTCTAGTGACAAAACAATCAGTTTTGTCAAGGTAACATTATATTATTATACTAAGGAATACAATTCGTGTGAGCGTGCGTAGTGCATATTGACTGTATTGTAATATATTTTATGCCTTCCATAAACTCTTGCCGTTTTCCATTATCAATCGAGGCTGTATTTGACTTTCATCGAAATAGTTTTTTTCTCGTTCTTAACATATTTTACGTCTATCTAGCATGTAGGTATCCGTTGTTGCCTCTATTGACTTGACAAGTATTTTTCTTTTGCAAAAATTGTATTCTAGTTTTGACGTGACGTCTTCTATAGTACGACAACGGACAAACTCGGTTGTTTGGTTTCTAGTACGAAGACCTTATTACATTACACTGTGGCAAATCTATTCTTGTATAGAAACCACTCTATGTGCGTTATATATGAAATCTGATGAACCGTTATGCTCGTAGTGAATGTACAGAATAATGTAAACATATAACATGTTATTATTATTATATTATGTAGCTGTCACCTAAACATATCTTTTTAACAGTTCTTATTTCGTGACGAACTTATTTAAAAATCGTGGTTAAAAAAACACTCTTGGATTTTTTCTTCGAAACAGTGACGTTAAAATTTGCATATAGAAAATTGATTTAAAATTATGTACCTATTATACTATATAAAAATTGTGTGTAGATAAATGCATAGTAATTAATAAAAACTACGTTATAATAATTATAATAATAGCAATAATATTTATTATATTATTTGTATGCGTACCAAAATCAAATGTTTATATTTACGAATAAATTGTGGGATACGTTATCACCACTAAGGGGTATTTAAATTTTTAAGTTTAAAATCCTTATCAAGTTAAATAACTATTTTAATTATAATGTAAAAGTTAAGTATAAATTATATAAGTCTCCACCAACAGAATGAATAATCTTAGGTACCTTGAGGTATATTCTTTCACTGCGTGATTGTCATAATCTGAATATAATAATATTGTAAGTAAGTATAACCATATATACATTATCCAGTTAGTAAAGGATAACGGGACTAAGACACTCGTCACTCATTGATTGTGATACCAATAAATAAAAATGTATTACCAACGTATTAAATATTTCCTATAATGATTCGGAGTTTTCATATTGAATAGGTTGCCTACTGGCGACTACATATCCGAATTGGGCAAGACCACTATTTATCACAGAATTTATTTTAAATAATGATACTAAATAAATTTAAATTAACTTTAAAGTATAAACAACCATATTGGCAGATTGTGTAAGCGTCAGAATGACCTTTTTAAGTATATATTAGGTAGTGAATCAATTATTTGTGAAAGGGAAAAAGTTCATGAACCAAACTTTCGGGAAATTAAAAAAACTTTTACCACACATAATCATAATCTAAACATGTGAGCATATACGAGAAATTTTATATAATTGCTTACAATGAACTATCATACGAATTTTAGTCTCTTCACAAGTAAACGATCAATCTACATAGCCACAAAATATAATATTTTTTAATAAAAAGTCTCGTTTTCTGAACAATTGTGACTTTTATAGGTATGATTTTTATAAATTATTCATATTATTTCTGCACTCTGCGGGCTACAGTACGCCTGTATGGTTATATACATATATACTGAAGTATACAACAATAGGTACCATAAATGGTATGAAACTTCCAATATTTAAAATAATATTAATGTTTTAGGTATTCTATGCAAACATCGAGTTTGTATTAAATTTTATTTTCTGATGGGAAGTATTAAGACTGGAACAAAAAAGACAATATCTCATGTTTGTTTTATTAAAGGCACTTGAGTTTGATTCATTGATTGTAATAAAGATTATACGCCTGTATAAATACAATTTCAAAGCAACTTGAAACGGCTGCTCTGTGGGAGTCGGGAGTTTCCTTGTGTTTTCCCTCCCTTCGGACATCATAGCTTACCGCGTAATGGTATACAAGTTTGTCTAATGCTAAACTATTCATACTTAGCGGTTAAATGTGTTTAAAAAGTTTACAATATAAGTATATTACATTAATATAACTTATTACTACCTATGATTATGTTTTAGGAATAATGTATTATAAGTTATAACTATACATTTATACGAAGTAAAAATACCTAATTACTATTGTAGTTTACTATAGTACATTGTAACCAAGTCTGACGTCTGTATGTCTACTGTTTACCGAATACTATTGATTTTGAAATCAATACTGATACACTAATAATACTAATATAGAAATACTCGAGTCTAGATACCTAATAACAATGTTTACTCATATTGTTCATGCTCAATTCGCAGATAAAAGAATAAATCGTCCCTCTCTCTCATATAGTGTATGTGTATCATGTATGTGCAGTAAGCTGCTTGTTGTCAATTGTTACGCTAATTATAAATATATACAGTTTGTTGATTACACTCTAGTAAAAAGGGTAGACGTTGTGTCTTGCATCGCATTTCTACACAGCAAGCAAGTCTAAACCTTCAGTTTCGAAAAAAATTGCTTTTTTTAAATACTGGTAACAATTAGTAAGTAACTATCTATATATTAATGTGCCATAAATAAAGGTACTTATAGAAACGACCGAACGAACTTAGATAGTTAGATTTAATATATTGTTTCAAATACCTTTGATCAGTTGAGCGGCAGAAACGGCAGACACGGCCAATAATACGAGGAACGCGCACCAAAGGCCGCACTTGCACTGCATCTTAACTGTCGAAATTACTCGTATCCATTATGGTTTGTACGCGGCTCCCGTTTAAAGTTATCGGAGAAATCAAGCCGGGACGACACTAGAACTGCACAAATATCGCCATCGTTTCGTGTTCGCACAGTAATTATTATGATTATTATTGTAACACACGCACATTCCGATATTTAACCCATTTTATTTTGCACTGACGACCGATGAATGACAATCACTCACAATTTATCACAAAAAATTATACTGTATAGAATAGAATATGTGCGTAAGAATATTTATTGATATGATCGATGACGCACGACTACACCAATTATTAAAAAGGAGATAAATGAATAAAACGAATGACAAGCGAACAGTAGGAAGACACACGACCGGCGTGCGAGACAGACTGACTGGTCGCGTCCGGTTTTGGCGGCACGCGGTCGCCGTGCAACACGCTCACCGCAGCGCCACCTATAAGATCGGTTCACACGACTATATTGCTACGTTATTCTTCTTGGGCTCACCGTTTTGGCATATCGTTTCAAATTTTGGAATACCAAAAGTTCACTGAATGTTTCACTAAATATTCTCATATGCCATGCGTCAAACGCAGTGTACTGTTTTGGGATAGCTGATTTTCCGTTATTTATGACTTATGAACATTATTTACGAATGAAATTTGGTTTTACCTATGTACAAACATCATATGTAACGATCGATTCACATAATTACATTGATGCTACATTTTAAAACCACCCGGGTGATCGACTTTGAACCTTGAAGTCGTTAACGGTCGGTAGTTTATCCATCCCTCCAACAGTTTCAAGTGGAAATGCGAATGTATAATACAGAAATTCTTTAACGTTAAAAATAGACACAGTAAAAAAAATATTTATGTCTGAACAAAATTATAGAAAGTTGAAATTATGAAAATTGGAAGTGCTTGAAATCTAATCCACTTAAGAGAACGCTACTCATGCATTTGTTGTCTCCGTCTTACACACGTACGACATATCAAATTTTCGTTCACTACAGTTTGAATAGTGTGTCGTTAGTTTTGATATTAGAGTGAATTTAAGTATTATCAAACTTTTAGGTAAGAACTTTATCTATGCTTAAGCGCTGGCAGATTTTCGATATTTTCAAGCAAGATATACGAGTATGTGAAATAACACAAATAAAAAATACTCATAACTCTCTTGAAAATTAAAATGTACAAAAAAATATACAAAAATCCGCCAAAGCTTGAGCATAGATAATTTTCTTACCTAAAACTTTAATAATAGGTCAATTCACTCTAATATCAAAACTAACAGCACACTGTTGAAATTAGTGAACGAAAACGTTCTATGTCGTACGTGTGTAAGACGGAGACAACAAATGCATGGGTAGCGTCCTCTTAGGTAGGTACTTATTAATACTAGTTAATCACCTGCTACCTGCAGTGAAGAACTTTGAAAAACCAAAATTTTTACATGAACACAATCATTGACAGGAACTTTGTAGTCATTGAGATGAACAATATAATTAATACATTTTATTAGATACTTTTTATCCTAGGACTTTTTTTTGTGGAACCTTAGTTTTCTATTTTTTTCTTATTGTTTATTATTATCGTGCAATTAATTGAATACAGTTAATAATGAGTTTAAAAAATGATGCAGCGACGGCCATGGTAATTCGGCAACATATCATGACGATAGGTCAAGGGTGTAATGAGGGAATAAGTTCAAACATTGCCAATGTGTGTTTTATAATCAATAATTATTACGTTTAACCACGTATATAACCATGTAAGTACACTATGTTCTAAACTATAGAGAAATCTTTCCATGACTGCTATTTCTTCATTACCAATCGTATTACACAGATTTCGAAGACATTCATTTATTTTTTCCCGTCGTATTTGAGTAATAGTTAATCAAACTTGTTTTTCCTTTTTATCTGATAGTTAATTATATTCTGGATTTTTTGAAATAAATATATAATTTCATATTTAACTATATACTTTATATACAGAACTATTTTTTTAAGATACACTTATTTCAAAGCTCACGTTAAAGATCTTTGTCTAGAAGCAGTAACAAATAATTACATTTGAATTTTTGTCTTAATTCTAAAATGTACTTAAATTATTTGGATAAGTACTCCAATAATTATAATTTTTTTTAAAAAACTACTGTAAAAGATGAAAATTAAACGTTATTAAATATTTTTTATTTATATTTTTTTGCAGAGAATAAGGAAAATATTAAAAATACTGAGGTATCTTATAAGTCATAATATTTTGATAATTATTAATCTGTACAAATAACAATACAATATTATATATCAAATATGGAATGTAAAATTTTCGCAAAAATTTAAAATAATGATAAGTGAACAAAAATCAACGAAGCTATTAAATGTAATGAATTTTGACACTACTTACATATTGAATTACTTCCAACACAATATTTATTGCCTACTTAACTACAAATTTACATATTTTTCGGGAAATACAAAAAAACTAGCATACTTGAATTTGATACTGACAAATATTATACCAAAATTGTCTTTTTTTCAGATGAATAAAATAAGCTTAATTCTTTCACATATTTGAAACTTGCAGTGCATTTCAATGTGACACCTCTGTATAATATATGGTCAAACAGTTCCTAAACACGTCCGTGGCTTTTATAGGTTAATATGATATTACTATGTGTAGTAATTGTTTAAACCAATATTTATAGGTACAAAATTAATTGAGATTTGAGTTGAGTGCATTTACTATTCTCGAAGACATAATTAGCGTAATAATTTAAAGTGAACGTCTAATAATAATTGTAATTAGGTATTAATCAAATTATAAAATAATTCGGCGAATAATGATATTGAACATACCCAGTGGTAATTATACTCACGGATCGTCTGCTTTTGAAATGAAGGACAAGTTTTTTTTGTAGTGTTAATAATATGTATGCTACGATGAATTACGATGTCTGATATTCTGGTTCATACCAAAGTTGTAAACTTGTAGAGGTGAAACGTTTTTTTTTTTTTTGTATCGATGTAACCGTGTAGGCGTTTGATTAAATTATTCACTTTGTTTAAATGATTTGTACATATATATTTTGTATTTCAATAAATCAATATAGGTAAGATAAATTAAATATACCTAATTCCACATGAAACTGAGGTGTATATAGCCTTAGCAACCTTTTTGCACCTGAACATAGTCATTGACTGCAGTCTCATCAGTGCGTATACCTCCTAACGGTTAGACTATAGCTGTACCTGTACTATAAGATATGCACATTGCACAGTATAGTTTCGTGTATCCTGTGGGCTTTTAATTTTGGCTAAATTATCTATTGTAAATTTGCACTAAAACTTGTACAGTGTAAATGTTGATTATTAGTTGTAATAATACGTTATGTTACTGATTGAAAATTATTAATGTCAACAAAGACGGTAAATTTTAATTTTTAAAAGTTTCAAAAATTTTTTCTCGATATATAACGTTTATTTTTGATACTGAAAATGATGAAACAATATGAGAATAATATTTCCATCTTTGGATTACAATAATACATTTTCTGTGTATTGTACATATTTTATACTGACGGTAGGTTATTACTTATTTTACGTGTACGATTACCTATTGGTTATTATACGTCTACACCGGAGTAATGTGTATAAAATTAGTGATTAGTCATTTTAATATTATATATGCGCTCATTAGGAGAAATCAATCCACGAATCGACTTCCTCAACCTGCCGCGTTAATCCGTAGTGCGTTTACATAATCTCATAATATCAAACAATTAAACTGACATAACCATTGCCTATAATAATATGAACACAATTAAACCTGGATTTGTGAATATTGTGGTCACGGTGCAAACGCGTATACCTATAAAGTAATCGCACAGACAATGACGCACTATGTAGGTGAATATAATGAAACTAAAAACAACAACAACAAAAAACACGGCAATTACAAAATCACTAATTTAGCCGCCGGCCGACGGGAGGTGTCCTTACACCTATAAAGTAAAAATATTATTAGGATAGCCGAACACATTATACATCGGTATATCATTATACGAGGTATTGTGGAGGTGTCACTGTTACAATGGTGCTCGCCTAACCCGCACGCGGGTAGACAATAACACATAATAATAATAATATATAATCGTTTAACAACCATCGGCCATACGATATATGTTAATGTTTGTGCACTCTATACTTATCCGCCACGACAAGGATTCCGATGTGTATATATTATGTACATATTTTGAATTTTGTTAGCGCATCTCGACATTATCTTGCTCAGCTATAGCACAGTCTCGATACCAAACTATATAATTACACGTGAGAGATGAATAAATAAAAAACACTGCTAAAATATAAATCATAGTAGGCTGCAGGTATTTTCTTTGATACATAGAAAATGATTCATTTAAATTTTAAAGGTTAGTTTAATCTTTTTAGGAAATTTTTTTTTAGACAGTTTGAAGTCATTAAGTACATACAAAACTACATTTAAATAAATACATATATATAAGCATCTATGTTTGTGTCCGCTCATCTCAATTATTAAAATATATATTTTTTTATAAAGCAAATATCGTTTTGCAGCCAACAATTTTAAGATGAAATGGTTAGGATTTGAAGTTTGAACAAAGTTTTTCTTGCAAGCAATATTGCAGGAAAATTAAAGTGGTTTCATTTATATAATGGATTTTAAAATCAGATTGAAGGGGCTTCGTTTGATGCACACTGGATGTTCCATATATAATTGGATGACATATATTCAGGAAAGCTTGAATAGTTATCATATATTTGCTGAGTAGCATTCTCGGCAAGACCCCAAAAAATAATTCCATAGTCCATACTCAAAAAGTTTTTAACTTTAACGACTTATAAAGTAATGACTAAAAACAACTACTTGAAACTCGAATTTTGTTACATCGAAATTCTCAGAGAAAAATTCTTTAACAATAAAAATTAATGAAAACAAAACAATATTTTTAAAAATGTTTTTTGTAATGAATTCAAATCATGGAAAACAAAATATTGTCACTTAACTGGAACTCAAACTCAATTTTTATCTTAATAAATTTCATCATTGTCGCCAATCTTCTCAACATGATATAACTTACGTCTTACTTTACTGTACTTACTGTATTTCTGGCTAGTATTTAAATTTTAAGTTCAATTTAGTTATAATTTGTACCTATACATTGCAACCTATCATACATATTAGGTATGTAATTTAAAATATTATATTAATATCACATTTAAGTTATAAGATGAAGAGATACCCCAAGTAAAACGTATATAACGACCGAGAAATACTCTGTTAAATTTTTATTATTTTAATATTTGATAAACGTTCGTCAATTATGGTCTATGACGTAAATATATAATGAACCAATATGTT